AGATGATCAAGAAGTTTACGATATTGATGATGATGATGATGATGATGATGATGATGATGGAGAAAATTATTGTGACTTATTTAACAGCGATGCGGACGAAAAGAATATTTTGAATACACGAAGAGGACAAAAACGAAAGAGATTTATAGTTAGTTCCGAAAGTGAAAATGAGGAAGAGATTGAAACTGCTATGGACGGAACTGTTTGGAAAAAAGTAAATGAAGCGTCTAACAGTGGAAGAACATCGATTTATAATATTTTCAAGGAAATATCAGGACCGACAGGATACGCTAAACGAAATATTATGAAGGGCAGTGTTAAATCAGCATTTGCTTTAATTATTGATCATAAAATGATTGAACGCGTAAGAGAATATACGGAATCAGAGGCATTACACGTGTTAAAAACGAAATGGAATTTATCTGTTGCAAAATTATATGCATTTATTGGACTTCTATATGCACGCGGCGCATATGAGGCTAAAAATATTAATTTATCATATTTATGGAACGCGAAATGGGGTCCGTCATTTTTCTCGACAACTATGAGTCGAAATGACTTCACAGAAATCATGAGATTTATTCGATTTGACAATAAAAATCAACGAAGCCAACGCTTACAAAATGATAAGTTCGCATTGATTTCTAACGTTTGGTACAAATTTATCGAAAACAGTGAAAACTGTTATAAACCAGGAGCATATCTTGCTATAGATGAACAATTGTTTCCTACAAAAGCACGTTGCAGATTTACTCAATACATGCCCAATAAACCGGACAAATTTGGCATAAAATTCTGGTTAGCTTCCGATGTAACTAGTAAATATATAGTAAACGGCTTTCCATATTTGGGAAAAGATGAAGGGAGAGAATCATCAATCCCACTTGGAGAATTTGTAACATTGAAATTAGCAGAACCATATACGGGCCATAGGAGAAACATAATAGTTGACAATTCTTTTACAAGCGAGTCATTAGCGAGTAAACTTCTAGCGAAGAGAACGACGCTTATTGGAAATATCCGAAGAAATAAAATCGATGTAACCGATCAAATGGCCAGAAAATATAGTGTAAAATCTAAATGTCAAAGATGGCCGTTACAGGTATTTTTCAATATCTTAGATTTAGCCGGGATCAATGCTTGGATTTTATATAAAGAAACGACCGGTGAGGAAATATCGAGGCAAGAGTTTTTATTTCAATTGGCAGAAGAACTTGGGACCGAATATCAGAAAGAGAAAGAGATAATAAAAGAATGCTCATCACCAACAATAATAATAAATACAAATACGGTTTCTTCTGAACGGAGATCTTGTCAAATAAGATATTGTAAAGTCAATAAAACAAACAAAACTTGTAAAAAATGTAAAAAATACGTATGCGGAAAATGTGCAATACAAAATGCTGTAATTTGTAAAAAATGTGATGAAAATGCAGAAAAGTAAATAAAACATACAACATCGAAAAGCGGGGAACGAGTTTTTATTGTAGCATCAGAAAAATATTTTGTTTACATATGTTTTTTTTTTTTTTTTTTTTTTTTTTTTTGAAGCGGTCATTTGACCGCTCACGGTAGGATTAGGTATACATGGAATGTCGATAAGTTTAGTGCTAAGCTAAGGTAATACCCCCGCAATAAATTTATTATTTGCTATTAAGACTGAAAATAACTGAAATGACAGTTTCATCTACATGAACTCGATGAGTTCCATCATCTACGGAAACGCGCATAAATAGTTTGGCCTTCTTATTTACATAAAAAGAGGTGATGTGTAGAATGTTCTTGCGAGTCTGTCTATCTATGTTATAAAAAGAGTAAGAAATCGACAATCCTTATCATCTCACTCATCATCTGAGACGATCATTCAAAAGTTGTATAACATTTGTGGCTACGCGATCGGCCGGGATGATCAGACACGTTTTCATAGTAAAATTATGCATCGATATCGTACTTCGTACTAAAATCAGTTCAAGGTAGTAGTCGCACTTGAAAGCTTTAGAAATTTTTGTCGAAATTGCTTTGCCTACATATGCTTAACGATTCGATCGTTAATCGGAATCACACAGATCTATAAATTGATTCTACTATTACGTATATTTCTATCTTCGCGGATATGTAAAGTAAAGGTGCTTTTCTGCATCCATCTGGAACTGTTAGCATTTCACCGCATACATCAAAAAATTTGTGTAGGGATTCGAAAAATCTTATATTAAAGAAATTGGCTGATATTCATATCCCTTTAACTCTAGCACTCTAGCGAAAGGTATTGCAATTATTGAGATTAAATAATTTTGTTTTTATAAACATATCTATATATATGATAATAAAAATTGTTTACTGTTCAATTCATTGTGTCTACGATCGATTAATAGCCGCTTACTAAATTTCTTTGTGCGTTTGTTTTATCGCGAGGAAAGCATTAGAAAAATATACCTGTTATTGGCCAATATAAATAGCCGGAAACGTTACTGTCCGTTTGCCTTTCAGTTGAATCACAATTATGACTTTGCCTAGAATGAAACGCTTACCTGCAAATTTTCGTTCCATCATTCTTGTCAGGTTAACTTTGAAAGCCAGCTGGCTAAGTGCAACTATGAGTCCGCTTTTTATTTTCTACATTATAGTCTAAAATTTTTGCTTAGAAATTTGAATTTTATCTTCAACTTTGACTTATTAATGTAATAAACATATATTTACATATATGTTGGTAATCACTAACATGTTGTCAACCACACATCGGCCAAACCAAAAGAGGTTTTCTATAAACGACACAGTTAAACAGGAAAAACGCATTTCACATTTCTTTAGCAATTTGTTTCTCAAATTAAATTAATTAATTAATAAAATATTATTAAATAAATTAACATAAATTCAGTCGCCTTGTAAGAAGAGAAGAAGAAAAACCATTTACAAGCAAAGTGAATATGACAAAGCGCCTCGAGTTGCAAAAATCGACGAGTCTCGAGTCTAAGTTTGATATCTTTGGACACGTTAGTAAACAAAAAGTGAAGAGGAAGCAATCCAACGCTGCCACGCAGTATCAAGACAGTTGTCAGGCCGAATAGGTTTAGAGTAGCAAATGAGGCTAGTTACACTTATCACCGAAGAATGATGGTATATTCATATTGTCAAAACGTTTGCAACGCCCAAAAGGAAGTTTCAGAGACCTCACACTATATATAGTTTCTTGATCAGCGTCAAATTCTGAATCGATTTAAGCATGTCCGTCCGTGTAATATCGGTTGTAAACATTCTCCTCACCAAAAAAAAAGGAAGCCATCGACTTCAGAAACATTGTAAGTTCTTGCACGTAGGGTTGGTATTCAAAATGGGACAAATGGGTCGACGATAAAAAACCCACAGTACCATGTAAATTGGTTTTTTTACTTATCACTCACAACCAGCAGCAGCTGAATCCTTCAAGATTTGAACGTACACCTTATGCTAAAGTCCATGCCGATACTACCGTGTACATGTACAAAAATTGGAAAAATTCCGCCACGCCTACCCAATGCCTATCCTTATAACGCGCAGAAACAAGCATCAAAAACCTCATATAAAGTATATAAATTCTTGAGCAGTTTCAAATTCGGAATATGCCTAAGCATGTCCATCTGGTCGTTTGTTCATCAGTCCGTCTGCCCAGCTATGCAGTGTCTGTGGTAAACATTCTTCGCTTCGCATATATGAAGATATCGCCTACGAATTTGCAAAGAATTTAAAAAATGACCCAAACTATCCAAAAGGAACGTCTACAACACGCACACGCCTATGAAACAAAAATGGTAAGCACTTTTTGTTACCATATCTGAAAAAGTTGAAAAAACCCGCCGCGCCTGCCAAGCAGTATAGAGCATGAAAATGTAGTTCTTTTCATTTTCGTTGTAGTCGATGATGGGTCGGTTACGATCGAATATAATTTTCTTACTTGTTGTACTACAGTCTCATTTCTTCCTTGAACGCCTCAATTTTATTGCACAATTCGAAAAATGTTTATGTCCTATTCTACCAGAGTTAATTGTTAATTATTTCTTAATTCAAATGACGCCCGATTGGATAAAGTGAACAAAGATTTTGCAAAACAATATAATTGTATCTCTGTTTGTAGAATTTCGGAAACATTGACCTACGTTGAAGCATTGACCAGTTAAATCATCTGCATTACAGTAGAAATACAATTAAAAATTAAATCAAAAGATTCTTAACTAAATGAAGCTCTGATTAGCGAAGCTTGTTTGCCTTTAACTTGTTAGTAATAGACTGAACAGTCGACTGAAATATCGGTTGCCATCGAAGAAAGCATTACTGAAGAAGAAAGAAAGTAAATTGCTTTGTTACACTATGGATATTAAATTCGAATACATGCAATTTGATTGAATGAATGAATAAATGTGTGTGTGTGTGTGTGTGTGTGTGTGTGTATGTTTATTCCAATATTCTACCAATAAACCTACATGCATGCATATTGCTCTTCACATATGTGCATTGAGAGCAATTAGTTAATGCCGTAATGGATATCAGTGCGAGGGGGTTGAAAACTTATTCGTTTTTATACCTTAAGCCAATTATATAATTTCACTGTCTGACACTGATTTCGACTAACATTGCTTTAAATAGCGATTTACGTAGATTAGCAGCGTAGTTCTTCGTTAACAAAAAGGGCGAAATATAATACACTGATTAATTCATTCAATCCCTTCTTATACGATAAACTAGCTCTGATCTGTATTCGCCTTTGTACAACGAGATGACCTTTTATTGCATTTTGCCCAATAGATAGAATAGTTTACTGCGTCCATGTTTACGTAAGTTTACGTAAGCATTGCGATTATAAGTAGATCTAAATCTGCACACAAGAGCAAAAATCAGAAATCAAATCCTAAATTCTAATCCATGTCAAATCCAAGGTTAATCGTAATGTAAACCGCGCTGTGTCTGCCACTAAAAAAAAGGGAAAAGGTATAAAAATGCCACTGCGTTCTATGCGAAAATTTGTCTTTATTGACCGTCAAAGTCGTTAATATATTTAAAAGAAAATAATTCAATAATTATATTAACAAAAATCATGAATATATCAATGAAACTATACAAAAATGTTTCGACTGCACTAAGACCGGAAGCGCGGTGAGTGTTACGATAAAAGAGTAATACGCATAATTACTTACGCTTATGAAAATTCATCATTTGCATAAGCCTTTTAAACATCCTTCGCTAGTTTCATTCGACAGCTATGTTGATGTGAAACTATTGATGGTGATCTCGTTCAGTTTCTCCTGTAATGAAGAAAAATGTAAAATCAACTCATATGTGAATTGATTTCTTTGCTTATTATACACTGCACCACTTCTGGCATAAGGGGATATTCAGTTTGTACAGATGTATGCAATGCCTCAAAGTAATTGAGTCAGTTGAGTCAGTCAGTCAGTTGAGTCAGCTCAGTCAGTTGAGTTAGTTAAGTCAGTTGAGT